AAGAAAGAACAAAAAAAAGCAAGTGCAATAAAAAGAAAAAGAAAAAAGAGCTTTATTGTTTTTAATTAGTTTTTATACTTCAAAATATCACAATCCAAAACAAATAAACTGTTTTTACTAAAGTTCTAGTGTTAAATTCGAGAGATTAATGCACTTTGCTAAACCAGAACCTAAGCCTGATGCACCTTCATCACCAACTTTATTTAACCTTTTTAAATATTGAAGAAAAAATATATAATTAAATAGTTAATTAGAAGGAAAAAATGAAGAAAAAATATGAAATAATAAGATTAATTAACAATAAAAGCAAATGTTGAAAATAAAATGATGAGATAAATTAACAAAGAAAGAAAGAAAGAACAAAAAAAAGCAAGCACAATAAAAAGAAAAAGAAAAAAGAGCTTTATTGATTTTAATTAGTTTTTATAGTTCAAAATATCACAATCCAAAACAAATAAACTGATTTTACCTAAGTAATAGTTTCAAATTTGAGAGATTAATGCACTTTGCTAAACCAGAACTTAAGCCTGATGCACCCACTGCACCAATTTAATTTCTACTTTTTAAATATTGAAGAAAAAATATATCATTAAATAGTTAATTAGAAGGAAAAAAAGAAGAAAAAATATGAAATAATAAGATTAATTAACAATAAAAGCAAAAGTTGAAAATAAAATGATGAGATAAATTAACAAAGAAAGAAAGAAAAAACAAAAAAAAGCAAGCACAATAAAAAGAAAAAGAAATAAGAACTTTATTGTTTTTAATTAGTTTTTATAGTTCCAAATATCACAATCCAAAACAAATAAACTGTTTTTACCCAAGGTTAAGTGTTAAATTCGAGAGATTAATGCACTTTGCTAAACCAGAACCTAAGCCTGATGCACCCACTGCACCAATTTAATTTGAACTTTTTAAATATTGAAGAAAAAATATATAATTAAATAGTTAATTAGAAGGAAAAAATGAAGAAAAAATATGAAATAATAAGATTAATTAACAATAAAAGCAAAAGTTGAAAATAAAATGATAAGATAAATTAATAAATAAAAAAAGAAAGAAAGAAAGAAAGAAAGAAAGAAAGAACAAAAAAAAGCAAGCACAATAAAAAGAAAAAGAAAAAAGAGCTTTATTGATTTTAATTAGTTTTTATAGCTCAAAATTACA